CACAGTCTCCTGGGCCGGTTGGGAGCAATGAGGAGCACCAAAATGCTTTTCATCTTGATCCTACAAAAGGATGAGAGGCTAGTGTTTCAAAGTAGGAAAGGCATACAACAGGCTGAATAGGGGCACCAATGCATTCTTTGTGAAGGTCCTGGGATCCCTGGTCCTAGCAGCAAACCTATCAAGCTTGTTGCTGAGGCTGGACACCAGGTGGCTAACATCTGGTGGCCCATACTTGCAAAAATGGTCCCGAATCACCTTCAGTGAAGGTACCATTTTATGGTATCCAGACGTTGGCGACTAATGACACCCGAGATGTGCACAGCAGACAGGGCAAGGACATAAAGTTCCACCCAAGCAAGAATCAGGTCCACTTCCCTTTGAGCCACACAACTTTCCTGATGGTTGATATAAGCCACAGCTTGGCATTGTTCCAACTGAATAATGGTCAAGTGGCCCTGTAACTGGTGGGTCCAGTTTTGAGACAACTGAATGGCCTGGAGTTCCAGGATGATGATTGGAAGACGAGAATCTTCTGTCAACCAAGTCACCCGAGCCGAGAGGTTCCCCAGGACTCCATCCCAGCATGACAGGCCTGTCTTTAACACCTTCCAGAACCCTGGGAGGAAGGATTTCTCTGACAGCAGTCTGGTGATCCACTATATTAGCCACACTGACAGAATGCTGAGCTGCAATAGCTTGGAGTGAAATTGTGCACAGAAATGGGATCTTTTCTGGGAGAAGGAAGACTTTAGTCAGAGCCTTGTCTAAGACCCGGTTGAAGCACTTCAAGCAATGGCTTATGAACCCACCAGAAGCTCTGCAGGATTTGTATCATCTAAAAGATGTTGGACAACAAGGCTCCCGCCAATTCTTCTCTGAGAAGAAGGTCATCAAGTTACCACTCTATTGGTGTGCCCTGAGACCGAAGCAAGTAAGTAAACACAGGGGCCAGCACCTTGGTGGAGACCTGAGGTACAGTGGATAGGCTGAAAGGAAGGGCAACATACTGGTAGTATTGAGTGCCCACAGCAAAACGCAGGCAACATTAATGAACAGGAAAAAAGGGAACGTGCAAATATGTATCCTCGATATCCACTCCTACAGAATGGGAGGTGATAACAGAGCAGGCAAACTTCATCCAGAATTTCCTTATTTAAACCCATTAAAGATCTTGAGGAAAGAATCTTGGAGAACAGGCCATTCCCTCCTTTGCTTTGAGGGCAGTAAATGGGTTCTAGTAAAACCCCTAGAACTGTTCCACCTCTAGCACAGGAAATATGACCCCCTGGAAAAGGAGCTGACCTAGGGCAGTAAGATGATCCAAATGTCTCTGGGGAGATCTTGGCAAGTTTGACAGCAGAAAGTGAGGAGGAGGCAAGGAGTGAAACTCTAGCTTCCAACTCTTGGTTATGACACTTTGGACTCAGCCATTAGGAATGTTCCAGACTCAGGAGGCCGTGAAAGCCAACAGGTTTCCCACCAATTGAGAAAGTGGGGACATTCCTTTATAATAGAGTGTGCTCCCAAAGTTTGTGAGCTCAGAGGTCAAGGACGTGGTATTGAGAGTTTGGCTCAGGTTTGGAACCTCAGGCTTAGGAGAAGTGCAATTAATTTTTCTTGATGAACGGAGCAGAGGTAAGTCCAAGGATCTCCCAAACAGGGGTTCTCCAGTAAAGGACATGCTTCAAGAACTTCTTGCAAGGGAGTTCTGCAGACCAGCATTTCAGCAACATAATCCATTGCCTATGGACAAACATGGGACCTATCCTGGAAATGTGTCTAAGGGTATCTGCCAGGCCATCTACACAGTTGCACAAAGCTACAGGAAAGAGCTCTAACTGTTTAAGAGCTGTGGGGTCTGTCAAGATAGAACCATAGTTCCTTTGCAGGCTTTGACCATGCAGATAAGGTCCGACACACTACCATGGTGGCAACAGCAGGTTGCATTGTAAGTTACATAGTCAGGTTGAAAAAAAGACAAAAAATTCATTGAATTTACCCTATAGAGATACAGAAAAAAAAAAAGGCCTACAGAGACAATGAATGCCCTAAAGTGGGCTTCTAACCGTGTCCTTAAAATCAAGAACATCCTCAACAGGTACCAATAACCTCTTGTTTATACAAGAGATGGCTGGATCTTCATTTCTTAAGGAAACTCTCTTCAATTGGGTATTGCTGAGAATCAGTTTAAAGCTGGCCATACACCTATAGATTTTCTGCAGGTTTTCTATGGTCAGATGGAAAACATGCAACAGATTTATCCATCTATCAACTGTGTGGATGAAGGAAACTCCCACTGGGCCAAGCTTCAGTATCTTGCTAGTTGGGCCCTGCTGGCTCTCGTAGCACCTGAATAATGCCTGCATACAATCAGATTGTTCAGATATTTTGACAGCCAGCTGAGCAGACTAGCAAGATACTGAAGCGTGGCCCAGCGGGAGATTACTTCATCCACACAGTTTAGCGTAGATGGAGGAATCGGTTACATAGTTACATTGTATCTGAGGTTGAATAAAGGCGTGTGTGTGTGTGTGTGTGTGTGTGTGTGTGTGTGTGTGTGTGTGTGTGTGTGTCGGTTGGTCCCCGAGTGTTCTCATTCTTACGAGTACCTGTACCCTTGTACATTACGGTCTCTCAGGAAATCGTCCAAGAGCTTCTTGAATGATTCCAGACATTTGCGGAAATCATTGCTTGAGGCAGCGAACCCAGACCCTAACCGCGCAAACTGAGAAGAACCCCCTTCTCCCCTTGTGTTAGAATTTTTTTTTCTACCAGTTTTAGGTGGTGGCCTCTAGTCTTTGTTACAGAATTAATCTTAAAGAGTTTGTTGCTAATGCTGCTATGACTATTGAACATTTTGTACATGAAAATAATGTCCCCCCTTAATCTCCTTACTTCCAACGTAAACATATTTAAATTTAGTAGCCTTGTCTCATAGTTCTGGTCCTCCATCCCCTTGATGAGTTTGGTCGCCCTCCGCTGGACTTTCTCCAGCTCAAGGACATCCTTTCCGTGTACCTGTGCCAAAAACTGCACCACATACTCCAGGTGAGGCTGAACCATTGAAGTGTACAGTGGCAAAATTATATCTTGATGCAGGACAGGACACTACTAGCTTTGCTTACAGCAACCTGGCACTGTAATCTATTATTCAGTTTATGGTCTACAATGACCCCCAAATCTTTCTCCATTTCTGACACCCCTAGCGGCAAACCCATAATTGTATAACCCATTTGCCTATTTTTAATCCCAAAGTGCATAACTTTGCATTTATCGACATTAAACCTCATCTGCCACATAGTTGCCCACTCCCCTATTTTATCCAGGTCCTCCTGCAATGTTATACTATCTTGGTCTGTTTCTATTACCCTCCCAATTTTGGTATCGTCAGCAAACACTGAGATATCGCTGGTTACTTCATCCCCGATGTTGTTAATAAACAGGTTGAAAAGCATGGGTCCCAGCACAGAACCCTGAGGCACACCGCTAATGACACTAGCCCAGTCTGAAAGGGCGCCATTTATTGATACTCTCTGTACCCGTTCCTTTAGCCAGTTCTCTATCCATGTACACACCCTTCCATCTATGCCCATAGCTCTCAGCTTGTATAGTAAGCGTTTGTGTGGTACCGTATCAAAAGCCTTTGAGAAATCCAGATATACCACATCCACAGACCTCCCTCCATCCAGATCTCTACTTACTCCCTCATAAAAAGTCAGTAGGTTAGTCTGACAGGAACGGTCTTTCCTAAAACCATGCTGATTGTCAATAACTATACCATTATCCTGAACAAATTCTACCAAGTAGTCCTGTTGCACTTTTTCCATCTGACCATAGAAAATCTGCAGGCGTATGGCCAGTTTTAGAGAGGTAACAGTTTATCAGGGTAGTGCAGAGTGGTGGCAGGAGCAACCTGTGTGGCCAGTACTTTTTATTTATGATATCTCCTTTGCACACCATACCAATGTACCCCAAAATTCATTGGATGCTGGAACAACCGGTGGATGGTGCCACAGTACACAGAAATGGGAGATACACCATTAAGCTTCAGAATATTATCTTTATTGATATTCCTTCAGCAAGAAATAAAATGCAACATTTCGGAATCTCACAGGGTCTCTTCATCAGCCAAAGTGACAGATCCTGCGAGGTTCTAAAACGTTGCATTTAACATTTCATGCTGTAGGAATACCAATAAATAAATACCAATTTAATGGTGTGTGTAGAATGTATCTTCCATTCTGTGTGGCCAGCACAGTGCACACCAGAAGGCATGCGTATGCACAGTAGGTATCCCACATATGCAAACTCCCACCCATCTGTTGAAGACCTTCCTGTGTCCCGTAATGTATGATAAAGAATTCCGTGTATAACAGTAGATAAAAGCTCTGCTGTGAAGCAGGAGGATAAATGAATACCTGAGGATAAAATAGATGGGTCAGAAATTGCTGCTGGTGCAAGTAGTTCTGACTTGGATCAGTAAAAAGTGCAAGGTACAACCCTTCCCTGCACCAAGTTCAACCATGCACATGGTGCAAATTAGATCCTGACTAGGTGGGTCACCTCTAGAAGCAGGGTGACCACTGGTCCGTTTTGCACCAGACATTCTGCTGGTGATAGAAGGTTTCTGTACTTTTAAAGACAAAGCCACTACAGTCACCAATGATTAGCTACTAGAGTGAGCTAACATTTTTAATTACTGCTTCCCTTCTCAACAACTGTGGAAATAAGATATCTGCCACACATTGATTTCCATCTGCCACACATTGATTTCAATGAGTAGGCTGACACTTTGAAGATCAGCAGTAAAAAAGAAGTGCTGGGTAGCACTGCAAAGCAGAAAAATAATCCTGCAAATGTAATGAAAATGTGGCTGCACCATGGTTTTTTTTGTAAATAAATACACATATTAATAACAATGTTTAACACCAAGCTGATTTCTTTAACATGTTTGTCTAAAAAACATTCAAAAAAGATCAGGTATTATATTAGACATTTACCAGATTTTTCAGGCTCCTTATCCTCTTCTATTGTCTGCTTCATTGCTTCCCTCTGTTGTTGGAAACTTTTCCCTGTGGCAGCAAAACAAAAATTCTCAAAATCAACATTGAAAGCTTCAAAACAAAGAAGTAAAAAATGCTTTAAAGAGGAACTACAGCCATACAGTTAAAGTCCAATTGTACCTTACTGAATGGATCAAACTAGGGTGCATAGTTGCATTGTTTTTTAATGCTTTACTGTTTTTTTTCCTTTAATTGTGCTCCAGCCCTGGCTCCAGGAAGAACACTGGGTGAAAAAAAAGGACCACTGTCCTCTGTTTGAAAGCATATCTATCTGTGGTGGTCTCACTCACTCCCGGCACAGTCACAACTATTTTACTCCAATTAGTGCATAGAGTGAGCTTCCCCAACCTGGGAAAAGCAGCTGGGACATTACTGCATCAATGTACCGTATTTTGTGGTCTATAAGACGCTCCGGACGATAGGACGCAGGGATTCTGTGAAATAAATTCTGTGAAAGAAATTCTGTGACAGAAATTCTGTCACAGAAGCTGCAGTTAGCGCCCGAAACTGCATGTCCCGAGCGTCGGGTGATAGGAATTCACTCAATAAGACGCAGGCACATTTCCCCCCTCTTTTTTGGGGGAAAAAAAAGTGCGTCTTATGGAGTGAAAAATACGGTAATTATGCATCCTGGTAAGATTTTTTTTAAAACTTTTTCACAAAGGTGCCACTGGGCTTAAAAAAAACACAGTGCAAATATGTAGGTTGATGCATATGGCTGTAATGGGTCACTGGTCAGACTGCCTGACTGGCAACCCGTTACAGTAGTATACCACAAGCTTTTGTATGCAGTTTAAAAGTTTTGAGCTCCCAAAACGAACTGGCTTGTTATCTTCTTATTATACAATAAAAATTCCCTGGACTTCTATTAGCGCTGTAACACTTCTCTTTTCTTTATTTAAATCAGATATTAGGTTTTTCTTTAAACAGACAATATAAAAGAAAAATATATAACAAATATAAACACAAATAGATAAAACAACCAAAACCAATAACAAAATATAGCTGCAAGCAGCAATAAAGGTGGCCAAGCATTAGAGCCGGTTATAGCACGATAAGATATTATAGTTAAAGAGATCAATAGGAAAGTTATGTATTCACAATAGAACTGTACAACTGTAAACGTTTTCATGAACTGTAATATTTTTCCAAATTCAAAATGGCCACTGACCTTTGTGACATATGGAACCCATATTGTATTTGGCAGTTATGATGTTGAGTTATCATATGTTTAACAAGTTAAACATACTACAATAGTGCTGGAAATGCATGTTTATGCAATTTGATACAATGTTAAAAGTGATCGGCTTTGTGGCGGCCATATTGATTTTGGGATCGGACCTGTTTTTACAACCGTGGAAGAAGAAGAAGCCCTGGACATATGTGCAAAGGTTTGAATTATTATGATATTTGGTTTCAGAGATGAAGTTGTTTGCAGAATATTGCACAATCCAATATGGCTGCCAAACCATGTGATCAAATGACTTGTAATGAACATATATGACTGGAGAGCTCCGCATATCCTCACATAGCAATTTGTATATTTGTAGCTTTAGCAGTCATGAAAAAACAGATGTTTGAATATTGTCCAAAATACATTTGCTAAAACCAAGATGGCCGCCAGAGCATGCGACCTATGACCTTTATGTGGCCAAGGATTAAACACAGCATCGTTCTCTACCATTGTGCCACATTTCACGAGTTTTTACATAACGGTGTGGATTTTAATTAGCATTTGAAAAAAAGGAGCATCAAAATAATAGAAATATTTGTAGAATTGTGAACTATTCAATTTGGCCACCAAACCATGCGAGTTATTCTGATACATGGTTTCAGTTTGTTTTTTTGCAGAATATTGACCAATCCAAAATGACTGCCAAGCCATGTGACCAATGGAGCTGTAATGAACACATGTGACAACAGAGCACAGCATAACCTCACAGAGCAATTTGTACATCTGTAGCTCTTGCGGTTCTGAAGAAGCAGGTTTCTGAATAGTTCACAAAAATGGATGCAAAAACCAAGATGGCTGCCACATCATGTGACCTATGACCTTTATATTGCAATAAGTTTTGCAGAGCACAGGGCTCTACCATTGTGCACATTTTTATGAGTTTTTGACTAACATTGCACTTATTACAGGCATTTGAAAAAAGCGGCGTAATAATAATAATACAAATAATAATAATTCAAACAAAAACAATAGGTCTCCTTGCAACTTCGTTGCTTGGCCACCTAGAAAAAAAAAACCCACATCCACGATGTGCGCATATCAATAAGACAGTATCCAGGAACTAACTCATTTAGGTCAAATCACCTAGGCATATATAAACATTTCAACTCTGATGTAATTAAAAAAAGAAAGAGACTTGGAACTGGATTAGTCATATTATATCTTGGGCTCACATATACAACCATCATATATCTAAATAATAATAATAACAACAACATGAAGAGATTTTAGAGTGCCCTTAATATGTACTATAGTGTAACCATCTGGACCAGAGTAAAAAAAATGCATCTTCACCAATCCCTCTATATTGATAGGTAATGCGTTCAAACATTACAATTTCTATATAACTCAGAGGCCCATTTGGAAAATGAGGGAAGGATGGTGGATATCCATTTCCTTGCTACCATTCTCCTAGCGGTAAATAAGGCTCTGTTGTGTATAGTCAATTTGAGGTAGGAATCCCTCCAAGGCATATCAAAAATTGCAAGTATGTAGACTTTGGGTGTGTTATCCAACAATATACCGAAGACAGAATGCATAACCCAACACTGGCACCTATTTTGAACAGGAACTCAGGGGTATGGTAGGTCCTGTGCAAAATAAATAGTTGGGTAAGTCTATAAGACGTGGACAAAGACACAGAGCACAGCACCCATCCAGTCATAGTCTAATAGGGCCTAGGTCGTTCTCCCACTTACTCCTGGCACTCAAAGGGGATTGTAGTGTCGAGTTGGTTAATAAGCAAATATATAGATAACAAAAAATGATACCCTTAATATTGTAGGTGGCAACAAGGGTGTCCAGGACCAGTGTTGGGTTGAAGCGTGGAGAAGCGTTACCAAATTGGATCGTCAGAGCATGTCTAAGTTGCAAATATTGATAAAAGGCAGTTCAAGGCAATCCAAATTGGGTTTGCAGTTGTTGAAAGGAACAAAAGGGTGTTATCCTCATACAGCTGAGCGACTGTACGCACCCCAGCCCACCACCAATTCTTGAAACCCTACAGCTTAAGGAGCTCTAGAAGCCTACTATTGTTCCAAATCAGAGTAAATCTAGTATACCCCAAAGTAAGTAGGAGTCGTTTAGCTGTCTCCCATATGCGTCCAATTAAACTGACTGTAGCAAGATGGGAAAACCTTTTAGAGGACAGGTCCGTCTCCAAGGTACCCAAAGGGTCATAGCTAGGGATGAGCTTCGCGTTCGAGTCGAACCTATGTTCGACTCGAACATAGCATGTTCGAGCGTTCGCCGAACATTATGGGATGTCCACGGTTTGTTCGACCGCGGGACATCCCACAATGCACTGCGCCGTCCGAAACGGTAATTGGCTACAATCTTGCACCTGACCGCAGGTCAGGTGCAAGACTGTGCCAATCAGGGCTCAGTACAAACATAGAGCCATGATTGGGCAAAGTCACGATGACTCTGCGCAATCATGTCTCACAGCTAAGTCCCTGCAGCACACTATATAAGGCTACTGACACCGCGGCCCTGTGTAGTGTGTTGAAGGAGACTGATGAGAGATATACAGAGAGATATAGATATACAGAGAGATATATGAGATATATATACAGAGATATATATATACAGAGATATATATATACAAAGATATATATATACAGAGATATATATACAGAGATATATATACAGAGATATATACAGATATATATATATACAAAGATATATATATACAAAGATATACCGTATTTTTCGCTCCATAAGACGCACCTGACCAT